CTGCACGTGTTTCACTAAGGCTTCAGGTGCCTTTTGTCGTATGAACTTAGTTAAAGGAAACTACAGGTGTAGGGTTTAGGGTTTAGGGTTTAGGAGTTTAGGGTTTAGGGTTTAGGGTTTAGGGCTTAAGGAAACTACAGGTGGGGAGTTTCGGGTATATAGGGCTTCTATAAGGCTTCTAGAAGGCATATAGATCTTTTATAAGGCTTCTATAACGGTAACTACCCACCTGAAAATGTCCTAGATGGGGATGTCGAGAACGACCCCCAAAACCCTATAAACCCTACAAGAAACCCTGCTAAGACCCTAAGACTAAGAAGGATCCCAAAACAGTTAATATAGAGGTGCCTTAATCATTAGAATAGGGTTTTGGGGCCCCCCAAAATAGTGAAGGTAGCTATTTAGGCCCCTATGTCCAGGTAGACCCTAAAGGCCAAAGCTTCCTAAGCAAGTTCCAAGCGAGAGCCTGTTTCTTCCGAAACACCGAAACACCAAACCCGATTTCGTTTAGGGTTTAGGGTTTGGGGTTTTAGGGTGTTAGGGTTTGGGGTTTAGGGCTTTCGGGTTTTCTAGATTCGGCAACCCTCTCAACCAGTTGACAGCCGTTGTAAAACGCCGTTGAAGAAACCTTTGTGAACCCCTGACAGAAACCTTTCTAAACCCTGAACCCGAACGCAGACCCCCAACCCTAGACACAAAACACCTATTCGTGTATCTCTATTAAGCCTAAACCTGGCCCTAGACCTGATCCCTAAAGCCTTTATGAGCCCTAAACCCTAAACCCTAGACACTAAGCCCGCTGAAGAGCCTCGTATCGCCAAGGCGGCCCATAGGTCGCCGTGCCGTCGACGAAGACGTGGACGGTACAGTCCTTGGAAAGGGTCTAGGGTTTGGGGTTTGGGGTTTAGGGTTTATGGTTTAGGGTTTGGGGTTTAGGGTTTAGGGTTTGGGGTTTAGGGGTTTCAGCTTAGTTGCTGAGTTCCTAAGCACTTGTCGTTCCATAAGGCTATACTATCCCGAAAAGCGTAAAATGTCTTCATTCAGCTACTAAGTTAGGGTTTAGGGTTTGGGGTGGGGTATCCAGGTTTTGGGTTCGTGGGCAGTCTAGGATTCATTTCTGCCGTTTCCTAAACAATATCACCACCCAAAGCCGTCTTTGTGAGCCGACCAGTGCCAGAGGAAGCTAGCAAATCTGGTTGGAGGTTTATGGTTTTAGGGCTTTGGGGTCTGGGACATCAAGGGCCTATTAAGGGCTTAGGGCTTTAGAATTTAGGGTGTATGTCAGCTCGTCAGGCTTCGGGGGTTCAAGGCCTTAGACCCTACATGTACTTACAAATTCCCCGAGAATGGTTAGAAGCAAACCCCTTGTTAGGCCACCTAGTTTTCGCTTAGGGTATGTTCGTATCTCTTATGTAGAAAAGTAGGTACCCTAGAAGGGGTAGGGTATGACCCTAAAGAAACTGTTGTGATCTGTGAGCAAAGGCGGCACATGGAGCAAAACAACCCTTCACCCTGATATTCTGACGCTATTTAAAATGTTTCTGTGGTTTTTTCTGGTAAACCAGCTTCACCTTGTAGGATCCTAGCCATAACACTGTCTAGCCAACGCCAGAGTTCAAAGTACAAGTGAGACTGACTGCAAACTCGAAACCCTAAACCCTAAACCCTAAACCCTAAACCCTAAACCCTTGTAAAACCTTTCAGGTGCCCCATAGGAACCCTGAACGGTCGGGCTGAAGTATCCTAAGCCCTAAACCCCAAACCCTCAACCCCAAACCCTAAACCCTAAGCCCATAAACGCTGGAATTCTCACTGTCCCAAGAGCTCGCAATGCTCCGGGCACGGCTGTCGTACTCCAAGGGAGCCTGCAATACGGCTGGTGATATAAATCCCGTACTACCTTAAGGCGTTTAGGGTTTAGGGTTTAGGAGGGGCCTAAACTATGGGAATTATGGTCTATTCCTTATTGTGGGTAATGCAGGATTCATATCATCAACAGTCGTGCTCTTCACAAAATCAATCTGCTTACCATCAGGGCTTACGGGTGTTTGGGGTGTAGGGTTTAGGGGTTTAGGGTTTAGGGTTTTGGGGGTTTTGGGTTAGGGTTTTGGGGGTTTAAGGTTCAGGATGTTAAGTTGTTGGGGTGTCAGGACTTGAGATTATAGAAGGGCTCAAGCGAAACCACCGATACACATGTACAGATCCCGGTGAACGGGTAGGTGTCTGGAGTTGTTGCTTAAACACTAAACCCTAAACCCTAAACCCTAAAACCCTAAACCCTAAACCCTAAACCCTAAACCGCTTTCGTGGGCCCAAACATGACCTAGCCGGCGTTTAAGGATTTGGGGCTCAGGGTTCAGGCTTCAGCGCTCAGGGGTTTAGGGTTTAGGGCTCAGGGCTCAGGGTTCAGGGGTTTAGGGTTTAGGGTCTAGAGTTCAGGATTCAGGGGTTTAGGGTTTAGGGTTTAGGGCTCAGGGCTCAGGGGTTTAGGGTTTAGGGTCTAGGGTTCGGGATTCAGGGGTTTAGGGTTAGGGTTAATGTATCCCCCCATAACAGCAGGTCCAATTAAGCCCAAGCGAAGACCCATGCTTCCTAGGGCTTCGGTGCAGGCTGCATGACCTAAAGGTCCATGGGAACTGTGATAATTTACTTGGGTGCTCGTCATAATTGCTCTTCTTCTTCGGTGCTGGAAACCTTAACCCTAAAACCTAAAACTCCAAACCCTAAAGCCCTAAACTCTAAACCCTAAAACCCTAAACTCTAAACCCTGAAACCCTAAACCCTAAACCCTCAAACTCCAAACCCTAAAACCCTAAACTCCAAACCCTAAACCCTAAACTCTAAACCCTAAACCCTAAACTCTAAACCCTAAACCCTAAACTCTAAACCCTAAACCCTAAAACCCTAAAGTCTCCGGCAGCCATGGGAGGGCCGTGGGCTTTCAAATTGAGGGCTGAAGCGACAGATCTGAACGTCCATCTGACGGTTTAGGGTTTAGGGTTTAGGGTTTAGGGTTTAGGGTTTAGGGTTGACTAGACTAGACTAGACTAGGCTAGAGTAGACTAGACTAGACTTTATTACATGATTCGATACCGTACTGTGTCCATCTGACACCATACTATACCAAAGTTATTACGCCATGCCATACTTTGCTGCACAATCTCTTTCTACATCATACCGTACTGATATCAGATCTGAAGTCTTCAATCTTCCAGACATGTAACAGCATCTGTTGTTCATGCGCAGGCATCCCGGTTCGAGTCTTCAGACTGATGCTTGGCACGTGATTCCAAAACCCTAAACGATCAATCATATGTGTATATATATATGTAAATGAATAAGTATACATATAATATATATATATATATGCAAGTAATTTTTTGCAGATAAAACTTATACAGAGCCTTATCAGAGGGCTTGAGGGGCTTGCAGCTTAAAGTTTAGCTAGCCCACATGTACTACACCTACGGATTCTAAACCCCAATGATGTGGAGTAGTTCGACGATGGTAGTACATGTGCACTCACTCAGTTATAAAGCTGGAACAAAGAATGCTTGAGTTGCAACAGCAAATCATGGACGAGAGATGCCCAGGATGCATTCAGCCTTGAACTCCAACAGAAAGAGCGCTGGTAGAAGTGTTTCAAAGAATTGGAGCCTTTTGCTGGTCTTTGCAAGTTTTCAGAACGTTCCAAGATGTCACAAAAAGGGAGGACCTCGAAACATGACCATGTTTCTGCAATTGCAAATGCCTACAGCGTAACCTCTGCTTCCCACTCCCCGAAACCAGGCTCGCGGACCGTGGCGTCGGGTTGACGAGGAAAAGGCCAGCGGGGGTTATGCCGAAGTCCTGCCGCTTGCTGGCTCCGTGCTTAAGAGCTTCATTCGGCTGTTGCATGGTGTTCTAAACGGTCTTGGCTTCTTTAGCTATATGGTTCTTTTGGGGGCTCCTAGACGGGCTTGTTAGGGCTTTGCGAAAGTCTTGTAATGCTGGTAGGGTTCTACAGGGTTTCATAAGGTCTTAAGAAGAAACGCAAACGGAATATTCATATAAACACATAACTGCTTTGGAACATCATGTTACATAATGCCATATAGATAGATCGTCAGACATATGGCTTCCCTGTTATGGTAAAGTCAAAGTAAGTCGTGAGTTCCCTAACAACAAATCATGTTGCGTGGGACTGCATGCGTGTGCTGCCGGTTTGACTTTTCAGCGTTTAGGGCTTCGGAATATTGGCATTAAACTGGGGGGATTGGGTGACGACGGTTCAGGGTCTATAGAACCTAGGTAGTAAGATTTAGCATCCGGGGTTGCGGCTTCGGATTTAGAGTCTAGGGGTTAGAGCTTCGGGATATCGATGCTTGAGACTGTGCAAGCCCGTAGAAAACCACATAAAACCATCCTAAACTAATCCTAGACCCTGAACCTCAAGAAAAGGATGGAACACACCCTAAACCCTAAACTAGGCCTAAACCCTAGCCCTAAACCCTAATCCATGGGAAAGCCCGGCTGACCTCGATCAAGGCCCTCGCCAGCGCGAAGGCCAGGAAGGCACCGGTACAACAGCCGACCAGGAAGAGAGCCTGTGGAGGTTCCAAGAGCCTAAGTTAAGGGCTCACTGTAGGGGTTTATGGTTGAGGGCCCAGTTTAGGGTTTAGGGTGAAGGGCTCAGNNTAGGGTTTAGGGTTCAGGGTCAGGGTGTAGGATGGTTCTGTAGGACTTGATACGGGTATTGAAAAAAAGGTTGGGGGCCTTGCGGTGGGTGTGTTTAAGTTGTTACAAAGCTGTAACGTTGTTCAACTTAGGTTCTTGAGCGTTTTCTGCACCAGGAAGCCTTCGATTCAAGGTTTCGGGGTTCACGCATGGGGGTTGAGAGGTTTGGAGCTGAGGAGTATTCGGGGTGCCAGGTAAGGTTTAGGGTTTAGGGTTT